GCCACATAGGAATTGACATTTAGGTTGGAGAACATTAGTGTGGTTGTTTTTTTACTGTTATAACTTATGTAGACATTTTGATATCTCCTTTAGAAATGCTCTAATAAGTCATGCGTAAAACAATTTCTTCAAAACCTTGCCTATTTTCTTTCATAATCTCCCTAAGGGTTAGTCTGGGATTGATGTGCTATGAAAAAAAGGGTGTTTTCAAAAACAGAAGTAGAACTGCTTCTGTTTTCTCCTGTTTTGGACCATAATTTTAACAAAAAACTTTATTTTTTCATTTATTAGACAGAATTTTAACCCCAACTTTTATTAAATATTTGCTTTTAAAATAATTTCAATAATGACAAACCAACCGTAAGCCATCAAGCCATGCATAAAAGACAAATCAACTAAAGCATAATTTTCATTAATATTTAGATGCATAAAATAGAAAAGAAGAAAAACTCAAACAGTGTTACACGCATTATTAGGCATACAAGCGCTAATTAAACATGTATCATATCCGTTCATTATATATTGTATAGTCAGTTTTTATCATATGTTGTTTATATTCAATTTTAAATAAAAAAATTACAATGATTTTTAACTGCATGATATATGATGAACGAATGTGATTGGAGAATCCTTAGGATTATCACAAAGAGGATCCGACGAGAATCCTTCTACTGGTTATATTATGTATCAACTCGAAGAAAAAGCAACATGACATAAGAAGCCACAAGTGATGATGTCGCTTAAAATTTATTTTCTTTTGTCACTCTCACACACACACACTTGAATCACGTTGAAGGATATTGTCGTGGTGATAGAGAAATAGTATTCATTAATATTTAAATGCATAACATTGAAAATAAGAAAAACACAAAGAGCGTTAACAAAAATTAGAGAAAATCAAATCCTACTTTGATTCCTCGGCTCTCCCTTCCCTTAATTTGTTTGACTGCTAAGCTTCTTTTCCTGAAACTCTCTGTAATCTCCTATTTTAGGTGCCCTCGATGCGTATTTATAATTCTGCTAAGCTTCTTCACCACGATCAGCAAGCGCCCCTGGATCCAAAGAAACATGATTGTTTTTTGGAGAGATTGGAGTTGCACCCTTTGACGTGTGTACTGGGAAAACTAAGACCATTTTCAACCGAAAGAGTTAAGTATAGTCCCGTCTAGAATTATAACCTTACAAGAAATTATTATTAAATGAACACTATCAGGTTATATTCATATACCATCTCCAACCAAATGAGCTAAATATAACCCCCTTAATAATTTTTTAGTTTTAATTTTATACTTTGAATTTATTGGTTAATATAAAACTATTATTGTATGTTTTCAAATCTAGCCATTAAATTTGAATTAATTATTGAATATTAGGATTTGGGCCCCAAAAAAAGGCTAAGAGGAGGGTTACACTTGCTAGCTTGATGATACTTCGGCCAACTAATAATATGATGGGCTTCACAAAATTATAGCTCAGCCCTCCATTAGCCCTCTTCATTAGAGATGACCTAAGGCCATCTCCAACCCAAGGTTGGCTAGATGGCTCGTTTTAGCCATCTGGTCATCCAAGAAATTAATATTTTAATGAACAGTGCATAGCCATATTTCTTACCATCTTCAGCCGAGGACTATAGGATCAAACATTATTTATTATTTAAAACTACAACTTAATGTTATTTAATGTTGTTTAATATTGTTTAATGTTGTTTCATGTTATTTAATGTTATGTAATGTTTAATGGTTTAGGAAGGTATAGGGGAAAAAAAAAAAAAAGAGTTTCTAAAATTTTTTTAAACAAATTTTGTAAAAAAAAAAAAAAAAAAAAGCTGTAAAAAATTCAAAAATAACGGCTAGCTGACCGTTGCATTTGAATTCCAACTCGGCCCAGGGCCGCTCTGTTGGCCTTTGGCCCTTTTTTGTATAGTGGGGCCTACGAGCTCTTTAGCCTGGTCTTCGGTTGAAGACAGTTTTAGGACTATTTTCGGCCCTCTGACTATTTGGACTCTTCGATTAAAGATGACCTAAGTGGAAGACCTGGCTATTAACCTGGACCAGTCTATTTTTAAACCCCTCATGCGAAATTGGATGCGTTGGAACTTTGAATAGCCCATCATGTGTTGAACAATAGAAATAACAAGAGAGAGAAATAATACTCAAAAGTGTATAACAAAGGAATATCTAATTATGCTCTCAATTGAAATAGCAACTCTCTTGACATATCTCAAATCTCCTATTTCTTTGATTCTTTTATTTTCCTCACTCTTGGTGAACATAGTGCTCGTGGCAATTTAGAGGTTGCTCCTTCAAATTTATAAATTGATAGTTAAGTTGGAACAATATTGATAATGAATCTGCATAAATTACAAAGTTTATCATTCTTATTATTGATTTTAACAACTACAAATAAGTAATACATATATGAGATATACAGGCAGACTGAAAAAAATAAAACAAAAAAGAAAGAGAACTTGCACATTATCTCAATAAATCTAGCTAGGGCAGTTGCATCTTGGGATTAAAATAACAACATTATTGTTCTAAATAAATTTTGGACCTTTAACTCATTGGCTGCATGTTGGTAGTGCGGTTGTGCATCATTTCTGTGATGGCTGCATGATTAACGAATGCCATTTTACCTATATCTAATTAATAAACTACCAGGGTCCAATTATTGTAACAACTTTTTATGAAAACAAAAACGACAATGTAAACAAAACAAAACATTTCCTTATTTTAATTGTAATGATTAATCAGATTCAAATTGACAAGCAAGAAAGAACATACAGGGAGGAAAAGGGCCATGAGTGGATCCCAATTGAACTTTGCTTCTTCGTCCCCTAGGTATCAGGCCACCTCTGAAATTTCAGCGGTTTGTGCGAAATATATAAAAGGACCGCTTTTTAAGATATTTTTAAAAATTAAAACGATGTATTGATGTTAAAATAACAATCAGTTAAATCAAAACAAATTTTAGCTTTCATTGATTGCAAGTTTATAAATATCATTAATTATAAGGAAAAATAGCTACAAACACAACTTTCACTAAATAATAAAAAACAACTCTTAAACAATCAAACATGAAAAAGAAACTTCAAAACTCTAAATTTAAAATTTTACTTGAATATAACACATTATTATATAATAAAATAAAATAAAATATCATTTTTAGAGTGTTATAATTGACACTCAAAATATCTCAATGTACTTCAAATTTTTATATTTAGAAAGGAACAAAACTACTCTTATAGGAGTGCACAATGAAGTTTTAAAGTGCTAATAAAATCAGTTTTTTAAATATAGAACATTATTACTTAATATTAGATAACAAAAATTTTGGGGTCCCTACAAATTTGATCCCTGTGTGACTGCACATTTCGCTTTCCCAAAGCCCCCTCTAGGTTCAATATGCCTAACAGGTACGCTTCCTTTTTTAACCTTATCCTTTCGAGTAATGTTTTTTATACCATGTTTTTGTACCACATTTTTATACCATCTTAAGTGACATTTGATGTGGACAGCCACCTTTAGTTCATTAATTAATAAACTAATAATTAAGAGAAACTAATTAATTAAATGATGATTGTGGTATACGAGGAGTCTTTCTCATTCTTTTTCTTGGGTTTTACAACTTTTTCAAATTATGTGGCTGTATATATTAGATGTCACCTAAAGTGGTATAGAAATGTAATATAAAAACATGATACGAATAACATTACTCTCTCTCTCTCTCTCTCTCTCTCTCTCTCTCTCTCTCTCTCTCTCTCTCTCTCTCTCTCTCTCAACCCTAAAATAATTCAAACTAGATAATTTAGCATCCTAGACCAGTGCGAAGAAAACAAAAAGAAAGACAAATTAACACATGTAGAAAAGCAGCTCAGTAGCTCTATAAATAGTCTGCAATCTGCAACCGCTGCAATGCAAACACAAAACCTAAAATGGATTCCAAGGCAGTAGCTGCTAAACCCCATGCTGTTTGCATTCCGATTCCAACTCAAAGCCATGTCAAGGCAATGCTTAAATTTGCAAAGCTTCTCCACTATAGAGGTTTTCATATTACCTTTGTCAACTCGGAGTTCAACCACAAGCGCTTTCTTAAATCCTTAGGCCCCAATTCCCTTGATGGCTTACCTGATTTTCGGTTCGTAGCTATCCCAGATGGCCTTCCAGATTCAGATGAAGATAACACCCAAGATGTCACTGTTCTTGTTGACGCCATAAGAAAACGAAATTTCTTGGCTCCGTTTTGTGACCTGATCAATAAACTCAACAATGATGCCATAACAACTTCCAACAATCCTCCAGTGACTTGCATAGTTTCGGATGGTTTCATGAGCACCTTCACAATCACAGCTGCTGAGGAGATTGGAACCCCTATAGTACTGTTCTACACTATTGCTGCATGCAGTTTCATGGGAATTATACAATTTCGTGCCATGGTCGAAAAAGGCCTGGCACCACTCAAAGGTGAAATAATATACATACACACACACGCATAAATATATCCGTGGCCCCATTTTTTTTCAAACAATTTTTGACATACGTTTTTGCGAGATTTACTTAATAGTGTATTTTAACCATCTGAACCTTATATTTTTTAGAACATCATTCATATGTCATTTTTGTAAAAAAATTAAACAAATTCAAAATTATTAAAACATTCATATGTAGTGAAAAAAAAAAGATGAATATGGTTCTACAAAAAAACCCTAAATCTTTAATCCAACGATTATATAATTTTAGATTTGGGTGATTGATGGTAGAAATGACTTTTGAGAGAAAATCTAAAAGATAGACCGTTCGGATTATTGATATACATTATGAATTGGGTCCCACAAAAATGTCTGTAAAAAAGTGTTCAAAAAAATGTTGTCACGGGTCAGTCCTCACACACACACACACACACACACACATTTATTTATTTATAACTAGTAAAGCTTTAATTAACCTTTGGTTCGCTCTTAATTTCTTGTTTCTAAATGCAAATGAAAACTTTCTTCGTAGATGAGAGCTATTTGACAAACGGCTATTTGGACAAGGTCATAGATTGGATTCCGGGAATGAAGAACATTTGTTTGAAGGATCTGCCAGCCTTCTTTCGAACCACAAATTCCGATGACATTATATTTAACTTCGTGATGGAATCAACAGACAGATCCCATGAAGCTTCAGCAGTTGTTGTTCATACTTTTGATGCCTTGGAGCGAGATGTTTTGGATGCTCTCTCATCTATGCTTCCACTTGTTTATACCATTGGCCCTCTTCAATTACATCTCAATCAAATACCAGAACACCCCTTGAATATTGGATACAGCCTATGGAAAGAAGAAACTGTATGCCTCGAGTGGCTAAACACCAAGGCTCAAAATTCAGTTGTGTACGTGAATTTTGGCAGTATAACGGTCATGACACCTGCACATCTAGTCGAGTTTGGATGGGGACTGGCAAACAGCAAGCTGCCCTTCTTCTGGGTAATTAGACCCGATCTGGTAATTGGCGAATCAGCGATTTTGCCACCTGAGTTTGTGGCTGAAACAAAAGAAAGAAGTTTAGTAGCAAGTTGGTGCCCACAAGAGCAAGTCCTTAACCATCCATCAGTTGGAGGATTTTTAACGCACAGCGGTTGGAATTCAACCGTTGAGAGCCTGACCTCCGGAGTGCCTATGCTCTGTTGGCCATTCTTTGCTGACCAGCAAATGGACTGCCGCTATACTTGCAAGGAATGGGACGTTGGCATGGAAATCGGTAATGATGTGAAGAGGGATGAAGTAGAGAAGCTTGTTAGAGAGTTAATGGATGGGGAAAAGGGTAAGAAGATGAAAAATAGGGCCATGGAGTGGAAGAAACTTGCAGAAGAAGCTACCAGTCCATATGGCTCTTCATCCAAAAACTTAGACAATTTAGTGAATCAAGTGCTACTAAGAAAAAGTTAATCGCCATGCATCCGTAAGATATTTGCTAATGATTGTTATTGTTGCTGTTATTGTTTTGTTGTTGTTGGTCTTCAAACTAGGAAGATGAAGTGCAAAATGTAATGGACCATTATCTCAAATAATAAAATAAAACTAGTATTGAATGTTTACAACAATTTGAAGAGAAAATCAGATGGGAAACAAATATTTTAGCAATACAAAAGAGGAAAACAACAAAAAGGAAAAGAAAAAAAAAGGGGGGGGGGGGCCTTTTGTTTTGACCTATATTTAATTGACAGGGGAGAGGGTGTCGGTGGCACAGAGAAAATATAGAGAGATGTGTTTGTAAGGTTGTGTAGAAGATGTGTTAAATAAAAAGTTTATAACAACTTTTAGATTTTAGGGCTTCAACAAGATTGTTTTTAGATTTTAACCTGAGTAGTTTTCAAAATCTAATATAAGTCCCTATTTTTAAAACTTACCATATTTAAGCAGTTATAGAACATTTATTATTTGTAAACTTACCGTTCAAATTCTTTACCAATCCATAATTAATGTTTTTCTTTTGTGCTCCAATCATATTAATAGATAAAAACTTATTCAAAATTCAAATTCTTATTATTAAAAAAAATTCAACAACAAAAAAATAACAATTTATACATAACTTTCAGTACATTATTTTACTCATAGGTACAAATGTATCGGTTTGTAAGTTTTGGTACAAATGTATCTGTACATAACTTTCATCATGAATATATTGGTATACATGTGTTGATACAAATGTATCTGTGCATAACTATAATATCTAATCATACATATGTACGTAATATGCACATACATACATACATACATACATACATAGAGAGAGAGAGAGAGAGAGAGAGAGAGAGAGAAATTCATGCAAAATGAAAAATATATGATATTATATGACTTTTCTTATTATGGGAACTTAATAATAACTATCAATGATAAATAACATTTTCATTATTTATGGGAATCAATATATAACTTATAAACAAAAAATCAATAATTATTACAAACTATTTTATATTAAAAAATTACAATTAAATGCCAAGGATTAGAATTAGTTTTTAATCATAGACAAGGTTTTATTCAAAATGTAATCTTAGACAAGGATTAGAATAGAATTTTCCCAAATATATATATATATATATATATATATATGTGTGACATCCCACATCGCCCAGGGGAGTGATCCTTATATGTATATTCCCATCTCTACCTAGCACGAGGCCTTTTGGGAGCTTACTGGCTTCGGGTTCCGTAAGAACTCCGAAGTTAAGCGAGAAAGGGGCTAGAACAATCCCATGATGGGTGACCCACTGGGAAGTTGCTCGTGAGTTCCCAAAAATAAAACCATGAGGGAATGGTAAGCCCAAAGCGGACAATATCGTGCTACGGTGGTGGAGCGGGCCCGGGAAGTGTTTCGCCCCGGGCCGGGATGTGACAATTTGGTATCAGAGCCTAACCCTGGTCGCGAGTGTGCCGACGAGGACGTCGGGCCCCTAAGGGGGGTGGATTGTGACATCCCACATCGCCCAGGCGAGTGATCCTTATATGTATATTCCCATCTCTACCTAGCGCGAGGCCTTTTGGGAGCTCACTGGTTTCGGGTTCCGTAGGAACTCCGAAGTTAAGGGAGAAGGGGGCTAGAGCAATCCCATGATGGGTGACCCACTGGGAAGTTGCTCGTGAGTTCCCAAAAACAAAACCGTGAGGGAATGGTAAGTCCAAAGCAGACAATATCGTGCTACGGTGGTGTAGCGGGCCCGGGAAGTGTTTCGCCCCGGGCCGGGATGTGACACATATATATATATATATTGTAGATATCTAGAAGGCTATAATATAAAGCTATTTATTATAAAGCTGCGACACAAAATTGATAACTGTATCATAGAGATGAACTTTCAAGAACCAAAAAATGAAAAAGATGAAGAAGATAGAGAGGAATCGAAAGAATCACTAGTACAAAAAACACTTTGCACGATGCAGGTCCTTTGTCGCGCAAAGTCAAAAAACATCGTACAAAACTTAGACCAACGCACCTTCGTCGCACGATAACCGTCGCAGCAAGGTAGTGACAGAAGGGTTTACGCGACAAAAAAGAAACATGCGTCGTGCTTTGCGCAACGCATGTGGCTGGGTCACGCAAAGCCACTTTGCACGACATAGGTAGAATCTTCGTCGCGCGAACCCCTTTGTTTTGTTTTGGTCAAAAATATTATTTTTTAAATTTTTAATAAATATTGTAATTAAATTCTAAACAATAATTAATTAACCAAGGAAAAGTATTTAATTATAAAATATATGAAAATGTACATACAAGATGCTCGAACAAAAAAAGAAAAAACTACAAGTAGTCTTTTAGGTTTGATACATTAGACTACTAGGTATCAGCAGGGCAAAGTGGCTCGAAGGTCGAAGGTGTAGCAAGATCAGGTACTAGTAGCGAGATTTGGAGGTCGACATCTGTATGGCTCGTACAAGGTCTCTCACGTGCCCGACATAGGCCTTCATCTTCTCGCCCTGGGTCCTAATCTGCTCGCCTTGTGACACACCTCGACCGAGATCAGGGCATGCTGGCCGTCACGTGTAAGTGACGTAACCATGTGCACAGTGCGGAAGCTAATAAAATGAATAATAAAAGTACGAATAAATAAAAACCAGCTATACACAGCGTAGAAACATACATGTGCAAGCGTAAGTGTGAAAACAAAGTTCAGAGCACAAAGACCTAATGCAGTCCGGGAGAAACAACACTACAAAAACACACCCAAATGTGGTCCTACACTGGTGATAATCTGTCAGATATGCCGGGAAAATCCTCTGGGGAGTCACCACAAGTGCTAGCCAACTAGAACCTGGAGGGGCGCAAAACAGAAAGTGTGATTGGGCAAAAACAAAGCTTTTCAAAAACCATTTCATAAACAAAGTTCTAACCCCTCGCCGTAAAACCTGTATACTTCCCAGAAAAAAGCATATACATATATATATATATATATATAAATCATGCTCAGAACTATACCATGTCAAATGCCTCAAAATAGAATGCAAGTGCTCAGGAAATGTCATCTCAATGCCATGTAATCTGTTAGTCGGAGTCACCTAACGTGACCTGTACGGCTGAATCTAGAGCTCAAATCTCCATCTCACTAACTATACTTGCACACGAGTCGGAACCACCTAGAGTGGTCTGTACGACAGGACTGGGTGTATAATAAGTACGCTCAAGTGCTACGATCACGTGAAGGCTGGGCGAATAATCGCGGGTCACCTACGAGTCAGAACCACCTAAAGTGGTTTGTACGACATGACTGTGCACCTAACTTGGATCCAAGATGAGCGTGTGGTGCGGGAGGTGAACATCACGTAAAGGACTGTGCCCAACTCTGGGCGGGAGCACTAACACTGGGGGTACAGGTTATGAGCTCTCTATGCATCTCAATCACTACTGAACAAAAGCATAAACCATACTTACCTGGCACTTACCTGTGCGCCCGCAGCACCAACATACAAACATATATATGCTACTAATAATACATAAACAAACGACAAACAATATGCATGGCATATAAATGTATAAACGTTTCCAATCATTTTCTGGGAAAAACGTAAGTATATAGGTATATACGGAAAACCAAAAGCCCACTCACAGATATGTAGAAGGGTCGTAACCCCCTTGCCTCGAGTAACTGCGCTTGTCCTCGGGATAGGTCTCACCTATATGCGAAACAACTATAAAAACGTTAATTTTAAAGCACATAACCAACATCACGAAATAACTTCTCATACAATGCTCAAATGGGGTGTATGAATAACCAACGTGATTTACTCAACCTCAGGAACATCCCCATATTTTTAGAAAAATTTTCTGACGCCGCACGCGCCCCCAAGCGCCGGCCAAGGCACGGCCACACGCGCCGCCCACGCGCAAGCACATACCTGGCACACTGACGGCGTCAGTTAACGCCATCAGGAATATTTCGTTAAATCTAACCGATGCCGTTAACGCCGTTAGGAATATTCCGTCCAAATAACGGAATATTCCGTTATCTTCTCCGGCCAAACTCCGGCGCCGTCGCCGACGTCGGAAAACGGGGAAAACTTTAAAACCTTGTATCTTCTTCGTTTTTCAACCAAATTTCACAAAATTGGTACCAAAATGAAGCTTACAACAAGATGAACAAGTCCATACCACTTTCAAGCACTAAAACCCACGGAAACTCATCGGGAAAACACCACCAACTCTGGCCAAGCTTGTAACTCATGATCCCGACGTCCAAAACCTTCAAATGAACCATCCCAAGCCTCCTAAGGACCTCACCAAACTTCCTACAAGCTTGAAATTCCCAAAAACACAAGAATTAATGTGTGCATCAACAGTGACCAAATCGGGGTATCCTGAGTTCGACGTGAAAACGAAGGTATCCTTACCTGAAATGGGTATGGTTGAACTCCTAAGAACCTCACGAGCACGAATATGTAATTTGTTTCCATGATCTGTGAAGGTTTCAAGGGTTTTGGTTGTCGTCCGTACAAGAAGAATAGGAATGGGAGAGAGAGAGGGCTCGGGACAAGGCAGGGAGAGAGGGAGAGTGAGTGTGGTATGTGTGTGGTCCAAAATCAGCCAAGTAACACCCAAAAATGACCACACAACGAAACAACCATGCTGGGGCAAAATCGTCATTTCACCTCTACGGGTTGAAAATCCGAAACGGGCTGTCACACCTTGGGCCTTAATCTGCTCGTCTCGGGCCCTCATCTACATAGGACAATTTTGTTTGATAACAACATCATAGCTACTAGCGACACTGCTATACTGCTGTGAGGTAGCCGTTCCACGATGTCGCAGGTCATACTCAATCTTGATCCTGGACACGATCAGACGTACACTCTGTGCCTGCTTTAACATTCAACTAGGCCCCCTGGTGTTTTTTTTAGCTGGCCAAAAATAATTAAATGGTGAAAACCCTAAGCCTAAATTTATACAGAAAATTCGACATAACCTTCCCTGATAGTATAGCATTTCCCAAAACCTTAAAACAGTAAAATAATAGTAATTCACAACCCTCATCACATTTTCACAATCTAGCAAATTTTCAGCATCATAAAAATAATAATTTTAAAATGAAAAAAAAAAAATACAACGTAGTGATTGAGAATTAGAAAAAACTACCTGGCTGGGAGGCCTTACCCTCGACTCTGGATGTTGAGGAAGTGTGATCAAAAGGCTCCGCCTTGCGGCATCGCTAGTGAGGCCGTAGTGCACTAAGTGGCTAAACCGACACTAATAACTTCGATGAGACGGGCACCTGGGATGCCGTAGGAGTAGCCTCAGTAAGGGGTGTAGGTTCCCCAATCAAATGGAGCACTCACATCTGGAGCAGTAAATGCTGATAATGAGGGAGGCTCATTGGTCACACTTTGACGACAAGTGATCAACCACAACATCTATACACTTTTTGAACCATAAAATTATAACATTAGAAACTAATCCTTTCTTGTATTTGAAACTAATCAATTAGCAGCCAAAGTAATAAGTAGGTTACCAACATTCTTAATTTCAAAACAAGAGGAACTACCTACCCATTTTCATAGCCAACAAAAAAAAAAGTGTATCAAGTGAAACAAAAAAGAATGGGTAATCTAACACTGGGATTACCAAATATTGTAATCAATCAAAAGTACCAAATTTTCATTAGACTAATTGATATGATCAAAGTACCGTACAAAAGCAGTTTATTTCATACAAACCATTCAACCAGACACATGACCATAGAGACTAACTAGTAAACATGTAGGAAGGTAAGAGAAGCAACTCCAAATGGTGTTATCTGACGGCAACAATATGTGGTAGGTAGCAGTTAATTGAAGAGAAAACATCTAAGTAATCAATTGATTCGGTGAATCTTCTATAGTATGGTTGCACTAAATATGCACATGCATAGAATCTACTGTTAGCAACTCCTCTAACCATATGATTTTTTCCACATGTTAAATATCAAGGCAAACACTGGCCTAGACGAGCATCTCTACTATGTTTGATACATTGAGTTGCACCCTTTGGACCCTTGAATATGTCCTCCGGTAACAACTCAACTAGAAATTTGAGTCTTCAAATGAGTCTATCTTTAACCCTAAAGTATCTTGAACTGGAATTTGAAGATGTTCGTAATAACCAGAATAAAAAATGTTTCAAAAATAATTGATTCAAGATAATTTATTAACAAACAGTTCTTTACTAAATCTAAAAGCATCGAGATTACTAATCTATTCCTATATCTCTACCTAGATCAAAATGAAGCTGGAATAGGTTAAAACTTTAGTTTCGTCTTGAATAAGTTTCCCCTCCCTATCCTATGATTTTTCTTCACCACACTAAGACCACCTATTCATACTGAAATTGACGTAGCGTGAGATATTTGTTGGGAAAAACTTTTTAATCTGTAAACTTAAGCTTGCTGCTTAATATATTGATGGCTAAGGAGCTCTGAATTTCATATATTTAAATGAGAAAGATTACAACTTAAATAGGCAAACATCCCTACTGCTGCAAGTAATACAACACTACTTTGCAGATTTTGTGGAGTTACATCCCACGACTCCAGCATGCAAAAACAAACCCTAACCATGACTCCTACAACTTAGGGATCCTCCTGTAGACTAGGTAAACAATCCTAACTACAAGCAACCACTTTATTTAAAAAACAAATAACCTAAAGATAAACTTTAACACCCTCCCTTAAACTGATTTCTGCAGAAAACAGTTTAAAACCGATCTTCAGCTTCACTTTTCTTTAGCGTGAGTCCCTCCCTTGAACAAACTCCAAGCATACTTCTGAGCTTCTCGAACGCTGGCTGTTTGAGAGGTTTTGTCATGAGATCAGCCACCTGATCTTCACTCTTGCAGTAGTGCAGCTCAATCACACCTTCTTTGCATAGATCACGTAAGAAATGGTATCTAACATCGATATGTTTGCTTCTTCCATGCATGACTGGATTCCTGGATAGCTTGATTGCTGAAACATTATCACAATAAATTAATGTTGAGTCTTGTTGCTGATAACCAATAACTCCTAGCATTCTTCTCAGCCAAATGGCTTGACAGGAACATGAAGCAGCTGCCACGAACTCGGCTTCAGTTGTGGATAATGTCACGATTTGTTGTTTCTTCGAGGACCATGAAACTGCACCTGAACTCATTAAAAACACATTTCCAGAAGTGCTTTTACGATCATCAATGTCTCCTGCATAATCACTGTCAGTAAAACCAAAAAAATGCGACTTTCCTCCCTTCTTATAGAAAATCCCAAAATCTGTTGTGCCTTTTAAGTAACGAAAAATTCTCTTGGCTGCCCTGAGATGCATCTCAGTGGGATTCTCCATGTAACGACTTATCACACTTACAGAATGCATGATATCAGGCCTTGTGGAAGTTAGATACATCAGACTCCCTACTATCTGTTTGAAATAAGTGCTGTCAACCCTTTCCCCTTCAGGATCTTTACTCAGCTTGAACCCTACCTCTGCAGGTGTTCCGACGGGATTGCTGTTCAACATCTGAAACCTTTCCAATATTTCCAGTATGTATTTCTTTTGGCAAACAAAAATGCCAGTTTCTGATTGTGCTACTTCTATGCCAAGAAAGTAATGCATCAATCCCAAGTCACTCATATCAAACTCTTCCATCATAGAAATTTTAAAAACATCAAACATATCAACTCCACTTCCAGTAAAAATCAGATCATCAACATAAAGGCATATAATGAGCATTTTACATTCATCTCCTACCTTAATGTACAAGGTATGCTCATATGGACACTTTTGGAAGCCTTGTTTGACAAAGTATGCATCTATGCGACTGTACCAAGCTCGTGGTGCTTGTTTCAGTCCATAGAGTGCCTTCTTCAACCTCAAAACCTTCTTCTCTTTTCCTTGCTGCACATAGCCTGTAGGCTGATCAACAAACACTTGTTCTTGCAGTTCATCATGTAAAAAGGCGGATTTTACATCTAGTTGATAGATAGGCCACGAGTTTTGAGCAGCGAGAGAGATTACCAAGCGAATTGTGTCTTGCCTTGCGACCGGAGCAAACACCTCTTTGTAATCGACACCATACTTTTGCTTGTATCCCTTTGCTACCAATCGGGCTTTATGCTTGTCCACCTCACCTTTTTCATTCAATTTGGTTTTGAAGATCCACTTCAACCCAATAGTCTTCTGACCTCTCAGTAAATCTGTAAGCTCCCACGTATCATTTTTCTCAATGGACCTAATTTCTGCATCCATTGCCTTTTGCCATTTCGAGTCTTCAACTGCTTCCTTAAAGGTGAGAGGAATGGAATCTGCAAACAAGGCAAAATATGCAGTAGTGTCATCATCAGAGAGTTCATCCCCACTTACATAATCAATCATCCACGATGGTCTTTTCCTCGGTCGTTGAGTTTGAGGTGGCTGGTCATCCGTAGGTTGAGCATTTTCTGGTGGGATTTCGTTAGGCTCAGGAGACTGCTCAACCCTAACTTCTGTTTCTTCAAAGTTAGCCGGTATTTGCTGCTGCTGCTTGCTCTTTCCAGCCCAATCCCACGTCTTTTCTTCATCAAAAAACACATCTCGACTGGTAATCATCTTCTCCGCTGTTGGATTGTACAACTTATAAGCTTTGGAGTGTTCACTGACTCCAAGGAAAACACACTTTGCGCCCTTGTCATCGAGCTTCTTTCTTTTCTCGTCTGGAATGTGTGCATATGCTATGCAGCCAAATATTTTAAAATGATCTACTGAGGGTTTCCGCCCACTCCAAGCTTCCTCTGGTGTCATGTTCTTAACAGAAAAAGTAGGGCACCTGTTTAAAACATGAATGGACCACAGGACAGTTTCAGGCCAAAAACTTTTAGGAACACCTCCCTTCACTAGCAAGCTTCTGACCATGTTGAGAATGGTTCGGTTTTTCCTCTCGGATACACCGTTTTGCTGAGGTGTGTATGAGGCAGTGAGCTGCCTTCGAATCCCTTGCTCATCACAGAAAGCTTCAAACTCCTTTGAACAAAATTCACCACCACGATCAGTTCGAAGGGTTTTGATCTTTCTGCTACTTTCAGTCTCAACCAGTGCCTTAAAGCTTTTAAATGCATTAAAAGCTTCTGATTTTTCCTGCAAAAAATACACCCAAGCCTTTCTACTGAAGTCATCAATAAAAGAAATAAAGTATTTCTTTTTACCATTCGACATGGGACTGATTGGACCACAAATGTCCGAATGTACTAGCTCCAATAGGTTTTGAGCTCTCCACGCCTTTCCCTTTGGAAATTGATCACGGTGCTGTTTGCTTATTATATAACCCTTTTCTTGTAGCTGTCCAGCACTCAACAAATTTGTTTTCAAACTAGGCACATAAAATACATTCGAAATCATTTCAACAAAATCATTCTTAGTCCTAATTTGAATATCACCCTTTCCCATTACATTGACACGTGACCAATCCCCAAAGCTCACAGTAGTTTGAAAGTTTTCATCCAAAAATGAGAAAGATGACTTACTGCCAGTCATATGATTGCTGCAACCTGTGTCAACATACCATACTTCGGAATCAATCTTCTCCTTGACGTGGAAAGCCATCAACAGTGTCTCATCATCCTTCTTTTCAGCAAAGTTAGACTTCTCTCCTTTCTCTTTGTCTTTTGGCAGCTTTGTGTAGCATTCATTGCGATAATGCCCAAGGTTTCCACACCTATAGCACTCGATGTTGGACTTGTCAACTTGTCCTCTGCCTCTATTCTGAGAGTGATCATCATGTCTCTTAGAACTTTGGTGTTGTCTGTCTCCATCCCGATTGCCTCGACCACCTCGACCTCTTCCTCTACCTCTACCTCGGCCTCTTCCTCTTGAGCTTGAGGATTCAAAAAAGGTAGAAGCTTTCAGAGCTTGTTCTTCTGAGTTGACACGTTCTGTGATCCCACGGTTCAGCTGCTGCTCATGGACCAACAATGAGCTTTGAAGCTCATCAATCGACAT